ACCCTTGAAATTTCAGTGTGCATTTTAAGCAGAGTTTAAAGTTATCTTCCTCATCGTCTTGAACAACACAAAGACCTTAGAATTCTTGAGCTCTGTCAACATCCCTCCCAACTTACAATGAAAGTGTTTCACTGCATAGCTCTTATAGTTTAACACATAGGTAAAATTTATTATTGCTTTTGCTATCACTGTTTATAACATCGTGTTAGTCACAAGTTTGCAATAATTTGTTTCTCTCAACGTTCCTTTCTGCATCTTAGAATTTTCTGATGAAAAATATTTTTTATTCTTCAAATTTATCTTTCAGACATTTCTTTGGTACACATTTCTTTTGTACTACATTGGTAATAAAATGTCTCCTTTTATATTTATCTGAAAATGTTTTAATTTCTTTTTTATTCTTAAAAATCTTTTTCCAGATATTAAATACTAGTATAACAGATATTTTCTTGCAACATTTTTGTTATTGCTATTATACTTTAATTATTCTGTACTGTTTGCCTTTTTTCCTTCTAAGATTTACTTCTGAGATTTTTCTCTTGGGCTTTGTTGTTCTGAATCTTATTAAGATGTGCCTGGGTATAGCTTTCTTTTATCTTATTTAGGAATTTTTATGATTTCCTGCTTAAGATTTGTGTCCATTATCAATAATAGAAAATTCTTAGTCATTATGTAATCATATATTGGATCCCCTTAATTTGTTAATTCTCCTTTTGGAATTACAGTTATGTTACATCTTCTCACACTTGCTCAAATTCTCTTAAGGTTCCTCATGTATTTCATATCTTTATCTCTACTATTTTGCCTGTAAGATTTTCAGATTCGTATTCACTATTTCTTTCTTCAGTTTAAGTCTTCTATTTTGTTTTAATTTCAATTATTATATCATTTATTTCTAGAAATGGCATAATGTTCTTCAAGTATGCCTTATAATTTTTTATCTCTTATTCATATTTTAATTCCTCTTACTTTTTAATACAACTCAACATATTTATGTACTTTATCTGAAGAATTAGTGAATATTTTCTCCTCTCACTCTGCAGCTTTGTTTTTGTTTTGTTATTTCTCTTATTGTGAGTTCATGTTTCTTGCACTTCATTTGTGGGAACTCTTTGAGGCCTGGACTGAGGTATGGTCTTTCAAAAGGGATTTGTTACCTTCTAACCAGAGCCTGGAACCACTACCAATGTGGGTCTACTTTCAGTTGAATTTTTGCCTTGTAGTATTTTGTACTAGGCAGATAGTATAAACTTGAGCCTTAAATCCAGGTGAATTCTGGACCTATGACTTAAATCTCAAGAGAGACATTTCTCCACAAACCTGGAGGTAAGCCAAGACAGAAAAATTTGCTTGCTAAGTTGTCTTTCTCTCTGCTTTTGCAATATTGATTTTTAAAAATAATTTAAGTGTGTAGCTTTTTGTGGGTCCTGAATTTATTCAGTATGTTTAAGCCATATTGGATTCAAATCTTTGTCTTCTATTCCCTTTATGCAGGGAATGAAAACTGATCCGTAGGTGACAGGGATCAGTAGAAGCCCGCAGAGTAGCTTTGGACTGCAGGGCTTGTTTACCTCTCTCCATCAGCTCCAGGAACTTCCCTTGCTTTCTTGTAAGCCCGGCCATACATTACAATTGTCTTTTACAAATATTTTATCTCTGTTTCTGGATATTTTTTGATAGGAAGTTTTGGGGAGAGTTGTCCCATTATATGATGGGAATATATATTTATCAAGGAAAATCTTAAAGTTATCTGTGTATTACCATTGTACTCATGAAGATGAAGAATTCTACATGATTAAGATACTGAGATAAAACGTAGGTTTTTATCAGTGCAACATATTTCTAATTGAGGACAACTAAATAAAATTATTGTTTCACTGACAGAATTAATGAAGTTTTTTTGTTTAAATAGTTTTTTTTTGAGAGGGCATCTCTCATATTTATTGATCAAATGGTTGTTAACAACAATAAAATTCTGTATAGGGGACTCAATGATCAATGTACAATCATTAATCCACCCCAAGCCTAATTCTCATCAGTCTCCAATCTTCTGAAGCATAGCGAACAAGTTCTTACATGGTGAACAAGTTCTTACATAGTGAATAAGTTCTTACATGGTGAACAGTACAAGGGCAGTCATCACAGAAACTTTCGGTTTTGATCACACATTATGAACTATAAACAATCAGGTCAAATATGAATATTCGTTTGATTTTTATACTTGATTTATATGTGAACCCCACATTTCTCCCTTATTATTATTATGATTATTATTTTTAATAAAATGCTAAAGTGGTAGGTAGAGGCAAGATAAAGGTAGAAAACATAGTTTAGTGCTGTAAGAGGGCAAATGTAGAT